AGATAAAGACAGTTTGCAAAGACTAGTCCACAGATTTAATATAAGAGCAAAAGAATTTAATACGACAATCTCATCTCAAAAAACTAAAACAATAGTCAGCAAAGAACAAACCAGATGTAAAATAGAAATTGATGTCATCAGTATTGAAGTACTTAATGGAAATAAAATACCTGGGAATTACACTGTCTAGCCGGAAACCTGGACAAAGAAGTGAGAGATCAAGTACAAAAAGCAAATAGACTCGCTGGATGCCTTAATGACACTATATGGCACACATAATAACACACATTAACACTGAGATGAAGACCCCACACAGCCACAATGTAAAGGATACTGAAAACGGCAGAGACGAGAGTACTGAGAAGAAGTATGAAGTATCAGACGACCACACAAAAGATGAAATGACAACCTTCCATACAGCTATTAATCCACCAATGAACAAGCAGAATTGCTTATAAAGAGGAAGAAGAAGCAATGCCTTCATCGTATACCTGAGCCTAAATTCCTTAAATATATAAATTTAGATACTACATATTAGGTACCTAATAGCAATGCAATACAGTGCTAATGGAAGTATTTTTAAAAAATGAGTTCAAAAATATTTTATGGGTAAGAAGTAAAAAATATAGTATAAGACTATAAGAAATGGACAGAATTACTTACTTATCTGTGGCCCTACACAGCGTAAACAAAGAAGAGGGTTCATAAAAAAGAATTAGATCAGTTTGAAGTCAGTGAGAGTGTGCGACCAGGAGACCCACTGTCATCACTGTTTTTAAGTACCCTTCTTAAAATTCGTCGTCAAAGAAGCAAGAATCAATAGACAAGACTTGTATCAACAAAAACACTAATGCCTAGCATTCACTGATGACATAGTACTGATAACCAGTTACTTTTCCATGGCTTCAAACAGCATATCCTGTTTACTACATCCCAATCACTATAATTCTGCTTGTCATATATATATATATATATATATATATATATATATATATTATATATATATATATATATATATATATATATATATATATATATCTTCCATCGTTGTTTTTATTTGTCTGTTGCACTGTAATTTAAAAAGTCCTCTTTTCCTCATTATATTTGGTTACCATTTTCAAGTTCTCAGCGGAGTTCTTGCCTTGTCCATCCTTCGTATATATGTCTATACCAGAGTAAATTTAGTTTCTATATTTTGACATTTAGTGTCTACTTCACATTAATTATCTATTTCATTCATTGCTCACTTTGTCTATTATTATCTTTATTTCTTTTTTTGTTTCATATGTTTGCCTTCTGTATTTTTTTCTGTCATCTAGATTTCCTGTGGTCAGCTTTGCTCTTTTCTGATATTTGGTTTTTATCTTTGTTGTCCACCAATATGGTTTTTTTATTTTTATAATTTAACTGGTCATTTTCCCTTTCAATGAGTTCTTTTACTGTTTTTTTTTTGGACTATAAAGATAGTTGAGCTATCCACTGTAGCACCCCAGAAGATTACTCCATATCACACAACAGAATAAAAGTTTTCCTAATATACTGATAGTAAAATCTCCTGGTCTAAATAACTCTTCAATACATTTAATGAGAAGCAGGCTTTTCAGTTTTTTTGTTTTTTAATATAACCAATTCAGGGTCTGGTCAATATGAAGACCAAGAAATTTAAGTGACCTAGCAGGTTCTGTGTTTTGTGATAGAAAATTGACTGTATTTGGGAACTGTTATCTTGCCTGGCTGGTTCTAAAGTAAACAAAAACTGTCTTATCAGTATTAAGAACAGCTTTTTTCCATTGAACCAATGTTCAGCCTTGTTTAGTTTGCTCTGCCACTATGAGGAGTGTTGCTAATGATTTTTCTCAGAACAGCATATTTGAGTCATCAGAGAAATAGGTATTTATATATATCAAAAATAGAGAAGGCCCCAAGATGATTCCCTGTGGTATGCCTAATTTTAAGTTGATTGGTTCAGAGTAAACCTTATATCCCAAGCATGCACAGCATGTTTCTCCAAGCATTTCTCCAAGTCAAAAAGAAAGTAAAATGTATTCATTTTCTGATAATTCAGATACGACTGATCATTATTTTTGACAGTATCTATGTCTCTTATCTGTGGCAGATCCAGCATTGTTCAGAGGGAGCCCAATTGGCTCTATTTCCTAAAATTTTCTATTATATCTGTCTGTTTTAGCTTATCTATTTCTGGCCATAAAGAAACGTCCTGTACTAATAAAAGTTGATTCAAGAGTAGAGCTGATCGTTCCCATTGGATCTGCCACTGTCTGATCCATATACAAGGATTGGTTTTTGTACAAGAGCCAATATTTTAATAGCTACTGTTTTATAATAAATCTGAGTATAATAAGACAAAATATACCTGGCTTTTATTATGACCCAATACTAAGATATCCCAAACTCTTATTATTCTAAGAGAAATGAAGGAAGACAAGAAGTTGCTTAACATGAACATGGACGAAAAACTTGGTGGAAATATTACATAAAATCAGAAATAACTGTAAATTAACTAAGGATGAATAAATAATACATAAGACTTTAGTAATTACATCAAAGATGAAACCTTATATTTTCACGATTTTTCTTCCAGTAAACATATAATTAGTAAGAAACTTTCTAAGAACCTTAATTGAATTAATTGAACTGCATCTTCGGTTTTGTTCCGCTTAATGCTTCTAATTAAGGAAATCATTAATAAAATGAATAGAACCGATTGTTATTTTTCTACGAGGGTATATTGATATGTCAGTGCCAATTTTCGCTCAAGTGAAATTTGCAGTGTTTTGCTGAGATTCAAAACACCCAAAAACAATATTGTTCTGAAGCTATTTTCTTGTAACATTTTAAATTAAATAATTTACTGTTTGTATTTCGAGAACGATTTTCGAAGTGGAAATTGAAACGTCAATAAACATATTTTTATCTTTAATTGTGGCTTATTTCCGGTTAAATAGTAATTAACCCAAAAACAAAATTGTAAACCCTGTTTAAATGTCAAAAAACGCAATTGTATCTTTTGTTTTTAATAATTTAGGTGATAAAATATAGTTCATTTAACAGCACCTGCTATGGTTTTAACAACAATTCTTGAGAAAGCTGGGAGGCAATCCTTGGACCCTTATTCACATCCAGTTCTGATAATTTTAAATAAATCAGATATAGTTATGTCAAAACCAATTAAGTTAGTAAGACCAAGTGAAGGTGAATCACTAGGTATGTCCACATATTTGAGTGGAATAGAATGTAGAAAAACATGTTGCAAAAAGATTTACAATATCTAGTCTGTGACTGGATTCAACACCACAACTCAACACAACAGGCAAGGAAGGCTGTCCCTTCTGTGAATTTACAAATGACCAAAATCCCCTCAAATTATTTCCTAGTGATAATTCTGCTAAATAAATATGATTTCTGTAGCCTTCATCTTTTAACATTTTATAGTTGGCCCTCAGCTGAGAAAAAGTGCAATAATCCAGAAGTGATTTAGATAAAAGATATTTTTTGTGAGCTTTCTCTTTCTCAACTATCAGGTCCTTCAACTCTGGTAACAAGAAGGGAATTTATGTTTTGAATATCTTTTAGGGGGATAAATACTTCTATAGCTAAATAAACTATATCATAAAAAATATTCACAATTTGATTCAGTGGTTTTCCTAAAAATAAATTATCCCAACAGAGCTGTCATAAAAAATCGGTTATTTTCACATAGTCCCTAGTCCCTATAGAAACTATCAATAACCAAATCACTATTATTGGGGTACCTTTTGATCATCTTTATCTCAAATTCCAGTAGTAGGTGGTGCATACCCTCAGTCAAAAGAGCTTCATCTGACCTGGACACAGTTAAATCAGCATCATCAACCAGCACCAAATCAAGAATATTACCAGTGGAATTCTCAATAGTGTTGGACTGAAACAAATTATAGTATGCACACATACCAGACACAAAATTCAGGGCTTCAACTTCAGATGCTGTGGCAGCTGGTAGAGGAATTGTAGAGGACATGTCATTTGAAAACCATTGAGAAAAAGTTAAAAAATACCTTGATCAAAAGTCAAAACATCAATAATATGGAGTGAAAAAAATGTAAACAAGGCAAACATTCATAAACAAAAGTTTTTGAATTATATGCAACTGTAGAGAGCAAGAAATAGTAAAAAATTTTTGTTAATAAATGAAAATGAATAGAAAATCATACAGAATTATGATTAGACCTGCTTACCTACCTTTACTTTAACAAATTAGATAAATGAAGAATGGACAGACTACATAATATAGAACACTTCTTAGTATATAGACAAGAAGCTTTAGACAACCATATAGTGAGAAAACAAATCAAAATAACTAAAAAAAGTCTATATAAACATAAAGTGTATTAAAGGAGACTTTGTTAAAGCTTTTTATTTTAGCTTCCTCCTTTTTCTAAGTTCTTATTGTGATTCCTTTTGTATAGTCATTATTTTCATTCATTGACTACATGAGTATTACAAGAAGCAATCATCAATTTAGTGTCTTTACATTGAATGTAAGGCCATATTGTTATCATACCAACTTAATCTTAAATCAAAATTGTATATATAAATGTAAATTGAAAATTATCAGCATATAAATATACCTAAAGTAAAATCAAAGAATATAGAAAGCCTCTATATTCTTTGGTAAAAATAAAAGATATGGAATGTTTACATGGTGTTTTGTAAATACAAATACAGCTTACTATGTTGAAAAGCACGAAATTGTTGCTCACTAATTGATGGACTAAGATAATTTAACGTATTATTTTTGAATATTTCTTTGTTTTTTATGCAAAAGTTTGACTGTTATTAGTTTGTTTACAACCGCAAAAATATAAACGAATGAAGGCATGAACCGGTGTTTACGTTCTTTAAATATGCACACAAAAAAAACAATTAAAACCGCAGTGATAGCAGTAAACAACAACAAATATTACGCATGATACAAAAATAAATAAAAATAAAATTCTAACCTCCTTGTTTCAAGTTCTCCGAATGGTCAATGGGTATGACGAGGAGAGGCAATACTCCGCTAAGTCCGACAAGGATAGATCCAAAGATGGCCCAACACCAAGGTACATATTCTAGGGCACAAACCCAATCTGGCACTAAGTCTTTAACTAATTCCTGGTAGGAATCGTCGAAATTGGTGCTGTTAATGTCTGTAGCACATATGAAAGCGTTTGCAAGCAGTGACATTGTTCAATTGTTGAGAAAATACTTGACACGAATTTACCGCTTTTGTGTTTGGTTTTATTGTTTACCAGACCGACTAATCTACACTGAGATTGAGCCGGTTGAGATGTTATGTTCGAAATATAAGATTAGCACACACTCGTTATTGAGCACTCATCGTATCACACTTTTACTACATTTATAACATTTTTTTCTGCGTTGATATACAAGCGTGTTTTTGACGGATACATCCCCTCCACTATGAAGACGATCATCTGGTTAGGAGCGTGAACAAGGTGCAGATCGAGACTATTCCACCACGGTAAACGGGTTATCCAAGCGAATTTGCCAAATTTTATTTATTGATTTTTAGGTATTTTTGTGCTTTTCCACATTACACAAAAAAAAATTGTGAGAAATCAGATAAACTACATCATTACATATTTTTTATTTTTTCAGAGGATTACTGAAAAATGACAAAACGAGAACCATATCTAATTATAGTTTAGCAAACCAAATTTGAAATAAGTCATCAAAATCATGCATCGTAACTGATCAAAAATGGCCGAAATTACGTATCAATCATGAATTCTCGGAAATTTGAATTCGATCATGGACGACGCGCAAGAAAATATGTTTTTCACCTACCTCTATGCAAAGTATACATTTCCTGGCCTCATTGTAGGGAGCAAAGTCGTACTTTTTCTCCCTAGAAAGACAAAGTACTTTTACTCCCTAGGGAGTAAAAGTAAAAGAGACGTCATGGTATTTCATCGATGAAATAACTTATTGACTTATAGATATTAACGTTTATTTATAGAACACCCTGTATTTTGCAAAATAGTAAAAAACAGTAAAATGTTATTTTTAATTTGGTGTGTAAAGATGTAATGAAGCGCAATACATGATGCCGTATCCTGTTAGCATCTCAGCCTCTCCAACTCAATTCCTATCTTTTCCTCCAAGTTGGTACACACCGGTACCCCACTGGAGATTGGGTAATCAACCCCAGTGGAAGGTGAGGTCAGGGCTGACGAAGAAGGGAGCCCTGGCCCTCCGATGAATAGGGGGTTGAGCGAAGGGCTAACAACTCTTCCCTCTAAAACTCAATTGTTGCTTATACAGTGGCTAATGAAACAAATGGACGGATCTCATAACGACGAACTCAGCAAAGAATATGGTCATGATTATGGATTTAAAATTTGGAACCCGAAATGAGCAAACCATCTTAAAGGCAGGAACTATGATAAGTATGGCAGAAGAAATTGAAAAAGACGGGATTCAAATATTGGCACCTCAGGAAATCAGATGCAAGAGCTAGGGAGAAATTCGTAAAAATAAGTTCTCACTATACTACCCTGGAAATAAAATGAGACAAGGTGAAAGAGAAGTAGAGTTTATAGTAATCAAAAGACTGCCAAAAGCCAAGCCAAAGATAAACTGCATCACGTGACAATGGATAATATACGTATATACGTATATTATCCATTATATACGTATATCCAATATACGCATATCCAATATACGTATATGCACCGACGGAAGAGGATGATGAAGACGAGGTTGAAAGATTCTATGGAGAACTTCAGGAAGTATGTGATAAAATCCAAAGACACGATGCTGTTATAACATTAGGAGACTTTAATGATACGCTGAGAAACATATTTGGGAAACATAGTTTGCATGATGAAATCAGTCAAAATGAACTTGCAGTTGCATAATTTGCAACAGTAAATAATTAGGTAATTAGCACTAACTTCCGGAGAAAATATATCCATAAGGGGACATGGAAAATACCAGGAACCAATGAAGCCAATCAAATTGACCACATCCTCATATCAAAAAGATAGACAACACACAGTTATCGCGGGGCGAACTCTGACACAGATCACTATCTTGTGGGGGCAAAATTGCGGCAGAAAATTGCGACAGTGACAAAAGGGAAAAATAGTCAAATTTAAAAATGGAATGTTGAAGGACTCGATAGTCCAACAAAAACACCAGAATATCTAAATACTATCCAAAGAAAAATTAATGGAATCGGAGAGGAAGATACTGCATAGGAAGAATGGAGACAATTACAAACAATAATAACGGAATCTCCAGAAGAAACTGTCGGAAAAGCCGAAATGGCAAAGAAATGCGGAATAGTATGATGAATGCAGAACTGCAGTAGAGGAAAAATGGCAAGCTAGGTTTAACCAACTTCAAAGAAACACAAGAAATAACAAAGAAGTTTATAACGAAAAGAGAATAGAAGAATATGCAGAAGAAAAAAAAGACAGGCTTTGGAAAAACAACTACAAGAAATCCAAGAACATAACAACAGACACGAGTCTGCACACAGCACACAGTCATTTGATGAATAGGAAGCTTTATTCAGCGTGCAGATATTATTTCATAGATGGAGAAATGTCAGCTGTAATGTTTTTGCATGCCTGATTGATTACAAGAAGGCTTTCGATAGAGTCAGGTATGAACAAATAATAGAAGTGCTGAAGAGGACAGGAATTGACGGAAAATACTTAAAAAATAATGGCTAACTTGTATTGGAATCAATCAGCGGTACTCCGAATAGATGGAGAATATACAGATCAGGTTAAAATCTTAAGGGGAGTGAGACAGGGGTGCATAAGTTCACCACTGATATTTAATCTGTACTCGGAGCACATTTTTGAAGAAGCTCTAAAAGATATTGATGAAGGTATCTCAATAAATGGAGTCAAGCTCAATAACCTGCATATAATAGTGTTTTCCAATACCATAGAAGGGCTGCAAAACTTAATGAACAAAATAACGGAAACAAGTAGAAAATATGGACTGGACATAAACACCAGCAAAACCAAGCTAATGATCATCAGCAAAGGAAACATAATTGGAGCAAATCTGTATGTGAACCAAATGAGTCTCACAATTCAATTACTAATCGATGAGTCGTGAAAATAAGGCCCCTTAAATGTAATGTGTACTCAGTGCTTCTGTACGGAGTAGAAACATGGACATTAAAGACAAAAACTCTATCAATACTTCAGGCTTTTGAGCTATGGTCATACAGAAGGATTTTGAAGATACCATGGACAGACAAAGTCACCAATGAAGAAGTACTGCGGAGAATGAACACAACTGCGGATTTCGTCAACATCGTGAAGGGCCGTAAGCTTCAGTACTTGTGCCATATAATGAGAAATCAAGGCAGATACGAGCTACTTCAATGCATTTTACAAGGTACAATTGAAGGAAAAAGGGCCCCAGGACGAAGAAGAATATTCTGGCTTGTTATCCTGAGAGCATGGTAGAGAAAGACCTCAAGACAGCTATTCCATAGAGCAACCAACAAAGTCATCTCCAATAATACGTTTCTTCTTTGGCAATAAGAAGTGATAGCTCATATGAAGCTTTAAACACTTTTTCAGATGACTGAGCACTAGAACCAGTAACTACCCAAATTCATGCATTTTAATTTTTTAAATTTTGTAGCAAAAAATTCCTTTGGCTTGTCCTTAAAAGAGTTATGTTTGGATGGCAAATGTCTTTCAAGGCGATTAGTTCTCAAACAGTGAGTCACAATTGGTAGGCTACGGTTAGATGGTCTTCGTCAGGTGGACGAAAGGAAGGAGGGAGGCAGTGCTTGGAAACGCTCGGTTGCCAAGTACGCACTGTAGTTACATTTATTAATGTCTCACATTCCATTCTTTCAAGCCTTCGATTTGGGAACCCCTGTTTTATATTATTAAGAACTTAAGTAAGTTCCTTATGGACGAAGATGTGAACTAACTTATAGTAACGCATATCGATAGTTGACAAGACTATGTCACTCTCCATAATTGTTAGAATGCAATCAGACGCACACTTCGTACTTGTCAACACACTTATTAATAAACGTTTAGACACTACAGAATATTTTTATGGATGTACTTTAAAATTATTTTAGTTTTGCTTTTGGTGGAATTAACGTAAACTCAAGATAAATCGACAACGCATGCCCAAATACCCACAATAAGCGTAGGAAGAAAACAAACCACAGCACATTTTCCACACAGTTGCCGCTTATATGTAAAATACGAGAGTCTCAGGACTACACAGAAATAAGTGCGCATTTTAATTGTTAAACAATATTATGCACTTCATTGTTATTCATTAAATTATTTTTCTCGACGGAATAAATATTTTACAGATGATAAGAAGTACTTTTAGATATTTGCAGACGACGAGAGAGATAATAACCGTTGAAGTACGTAGATTTTAATCTATAAAAACACATCCAAACTATTTGAATGGAAAAAACAAGTCTACCTTTACATAAAATAACTCAATGTGGGATTTAGTGTGTGTGTGCTAACCACTTACATAGTTCTGAGAAGCAGAAAATCATCTGTACTTTGTGATTTTTGTTAACAAACTTTTCACGTATCTGTCGCTAAAATATCTGCATCGGACGTGCTAAACTCCGCATTGAAACATTTCTTTGAACTTTACTTATGAAACATTATTCTTTGTTTTAGTTGGTGTTTTTGTTTGAGATAATTTCTTCAGATAAAGAAACTTAGAGTTTGGTGCACCATCGATGTGTAAAATATGCAGTTGATTTATATATGTTTACATAAGTAGTAGTACAATGCCCTCTGTACAAACGAAAACGATTGTTATTCCTGATGTGATTGTCTGAAATGAACCTATTTTAGCAATATTTTTATATGTCTTATCTGATAGAGTCGTGCAGTCATTCTGTAGTTTAAAAATATGGAATTTAGTTGACTCAAAACAGCATAGTTTTTACCTCTGCAGCTAATACATATTAGCGAAACTTGTACAACCTGTACACGGAAGAAAGTACCATGGTGGAATAAGAATTGTGAACACGCAGTTTGTCATTTCAAAAAAAAGCATTAAAAAGAACCGAAGAACTCGAAATAACGAAGATTTTGTGCAATTTAAAAACCAAAGGTCAGAGCAAAATTCATTCTAAAAGAAAACAAGAAAATTTCATGAAGAGAATATACTTCGTCACTAAAATCCAACAACTCTTCTGCCTAAGTATGGACGAAAATACGACAAATGCATGTCCGCAAGTTTCGATATTCAAAGTACAAGTTATCAAAACAACGTTATCAATGACACACAACGAATTTCTAATTTACTAGATAGATAGATAGGTAGATACTGTAGTGTCTTTCGTATTTGAAAGACGTAACAACTCTCCGGTTGTTATCTTAATTATTTGTGTATGTTCGGATATTTCTTTCATTTCGATCTCTTGGAATTTACATCTATCCTCTGTCAGTAAGATCTGTAAGTTAGATTTTTCCTTTCCTTCCCTCCGGAGAGACTTTATCAACTTCCACGCTTGCCCAACTCTTGTTTCACCCATATGCATATCCACTTCTGCACATCTTCGATCTCACATCTCATTTTAACTTTTCACTACGTCTCTTTTTACATCTCGATTTAATTTTTTATATTAAGACGCATTCTGTTGTTATTGGTTATTTTTTCCCCTTATCTTTCTACGATTGTGATATTTTCTTTTCTCCCTACTCTGCCGTTTAAATCTCCTACCTAGTATAAAGATTTCACAGTTTTCTTTAACTTCAGAGAGTGTTTCATTCATCTTGTTGTAGAAATCATCTGTACTTTCTGGATCTGCATCTTCAATAGAGGCATACACTCCGACAATTACGATGTTGTGCCCATTCTTTTTCATTTCCAGTATTAGCAGTTGTTCATTTACTTCAGTCCACGATTTAATATTTTTTTTAGGACTTGTTCGAATGGCAATAGAGACTCCTCTCTAACTTTGTTATTTTTACTCATTCCACTGTAGTTGTATTCTACTATCTCTTCATTTCTTTTTTCCTTTTTCGTGGCCTCAGTGAGAATACATATATCTAATTTTTCTTTCCGCTAATTGTTTGAATACTTCTGCTTGTTTGGTTCTAACTCCTTATACATTCCATGTAGCCAAAATTATTTTCCTTTTCCGTTGCATTAGTCGTCTTTGTTTTGATCTATCCCTTGTATTCCGAGGCTTTTGGTCGAAATTTTTAGCATTTAATTCTTTTGACAAGGAATGAGTTGCTAGCGGCACCGCCATTTACTGAGCTACTCAATCGACCCAGCACTTACTGGAGGCTGACTCTATTTGTTCTATTATCTATTATTCTGCCTGTGGTATTTACTTTATCTTTAATAGTCTCATTAGTAATTTTGTCTTGCCTTGCTATTCCCCACTGCTATTCTGATACTCCTTCGAAAAGAATCTACATTTGGTCTACTACATTTAGTTTTGTCTTTACTTCAGCATTTAAGATTCACACTTCTCATATGTTATAACTGTGTCTACAAATGTAAATGACCTTCTAATCCTAATTTTCGTTTTTTTTTTGTTACATATTTGTCCCACCATATTGAATTAAAACTTCCCATTACATTTTTCACTTGTTATATTTGGAGGCTGTGTACATTTATAAAAACAAAAATATCTTTTAGTTTTTTTATGTATCTAGGTGAGTTTGTAATTTTCGTTTCGATGTAATGTCCTACATAAAAAAATACCGACTGGATATCTTATCGTCAAGTGCAGATAAAAGTGGTCATTACAATTTGCTTTCCACACAAATAACTGATAAGATTGTTGTCAGTACAAACAATATTATCGAAAACAGGAATTTGTTTAAACAATCAGAACTTGAATAATAAATATCTTGACGATGACAATTAAATAATTAATTACACAATTTAAAGGTTCTGAAGATTATAGGTAATCAAACATGCTTCATACACTTTTTCTTCTTCATCTCATCAATTTTTATTTTTAGGAGATATATTTTGCAAATACAAGTACAATCATTCTCAAATAAGAAAATAAAAAATATATAAGAAGACGATGGACGAAAGAATGTACAGGGGGCGAATGATAGTAACAACAATGAAGGTAATGAGAGTAATTTGAAGTTTATTTCCGTGATTTTTTAGATAGGCTTATCTCTATTTTCAATAAGGCATTTCCTTTAACCACAATTAAGTTAAAACATCACAAACCTTGGACTATCAAAGGCATTCGCATATCAGCCAAGAGTACTCAGTAATCAGTATCGTTGATTCTGTAAAATTTCTTGGTATTTTCTAGACAGCAACCTTAAATGGTCCCTTCATATCGATTTGTTAAGTAATTTTCTTTGTTCGAGTCTCATTTTCGACATGGCCTTTCTTTTTGGGGTTCTAGTACAGTTGCCCAATCTGATGTTAGTTTTAAATTAAAAAAAAGAACAATACGGTACCTTTTTGACCTCAGTAGAATAACACATTGCAGAAGCTATTTCAAAAATCACGGGATTTTAACTCTTCCCTCTTTATATATTTTATAAACTGTTTGTTTTATAAAAAATAAAAAGATATTTTATAAAAGGTCCTAACCATGACTACTCCACCAGAAATTCAACCTTTGATGTGTATTTACCGATACATTAACTGAGTTAGTCAAGAAATTTATATTATATTCGACAAAAAAATTATACAACCATCTCTCTTTGCACAAATCTACAACTTCTTTCCATTTATTCCGTAAATTGACAAAAGATTATCTATCTGTACGAACCTCTGAAGAGAGTGACAAACGAAACGATAAACGTCTGGAGGAAATCGTACGGAAAGTAGTTCACATAAATCGTCTTGCCCCTTATGCTGGCTCAAATGAAACCGAAGAAGTCCGAACCCTTCAACATGAGATCAAAGATAAACGGCGACCAAGCTTTAAGGAGTTTATGTCAAATTACGCAGAGAGAAAGAATGCTAGATTCGGCGTGACGACAGAAGTACAGCAGGATCTTTTTAGTGTTCCGCATAACGTCTCTCTAGCCCACTGTGTTGCCCAAGATCTTGAGATGACTAAAGGAATCTCATCCGTATTTTATAAGAAATTTGGTTGCTTGGACGAGTTAAAAAACCAGCAGCCTAAAGTTGGAAGAGTGCTGAGATTAGATGGTTCTCGATCTTTGCTGTATATGGTGACCAGGAAGTCGTATACAGACAGGGCAACCTACGAGGATATATGGTGAGCTCTAACTAATTTGAAGAAAATCGTCTGCAATTACCACATTAAGAATTTGGCCTTACCCAAAATAGGCCATGCACTAGATAATCTGGATTGGAAGATTGTCAGAAGCATGCTAGAAATGATCTTCCGAGAAACCGGTGTAAGAATTACCGTGTGTGGCACTAATCCAAAGAGATTGTGTCCTTCAAAGACAGTAGACTGTTATTTCTTTCTGAGGGGTTCATGCAGAGCTTGAGAGTCCTGTAGATTTCGCCATCCTGGGCCTACATATAGAGTTGCTGATCGGGACGCTCAGATCTAAGAGGGGAGCAGTGTTACGAACGTGCATTCAACGAGGCACGTATAACGGTTGCATCTCGAAACAACACCTCATGCTTCCATGCGGCGGCGTCTCGAAAGCGACTCGATATTTCGAGAAAGATCAGTCGCGTACGCCTAGAGGTGGGAACTTTCTAGAAAATAGTAACTTTGGTATATATATGTAACGATCTTAGGAATAAGTTTAGTTGATAAGAGAGTACCGAACTGTAAAGTTATAAATAAATAAATATATATATATATATATATATATATATATATATATATATATATATATATAAAAATTCGAACCGCTCGTTTTATTTAAAAACGGTACAATACGATCGTTTATTATTTTCAGAAATAATTTAAGAATGTGACTTATTAGTGATATTGTTTTGTATTCATTGCAATATTTAGCGTTTGTATTTTTAGGGATAGCACAAAAGGTGGAGAGTTTCGGTATGTATCTTGTTTTCGTATACTAAGTAAAATAAGTCTACTATAATGTCTCAAGGTTTCATCATTCATGAATTTTAAGATTTCTATAGGGATTTGGTCTGGACCTCATGCTTTACCATTTTTGCTGTGTTTATTGCCATTTTAATTTCCTCTTTTGATATCTTTAAGACCATATCAACTTCTACTTCTATCTCCATCTGTTCTGTTCTATTATCTTTGAACAGTTCATTGATGTATTCTATCCATCTCTTTAATTTGTCGTTAGTATTCAACACAAGTCTCTCATTTGCATTTTTCAGTATTCCCGGTTTTCTTGTTCTATTGTTGTGAGTTAATTCTTTAATTTTTTTATGTGTGTTAAAACTATCATGTCTTTTCAGATATTCTTCTATTTCTGCGCATTGTTCTTTTGCTTTCTTAATTCTGTATCTATTGCTTCTTTTTATACCTGGTTGGTATTAGAATTTCTTTTTGATTTTTATCTTTGTCCACACTGTACATTTTCATTTACTATACCACCTGTATAAAAGCTGTCGATTGACAAATAAATTTACGAATAACACCTGGTTAGTCCGTGCCAAAATCAAAAAAATTTTAATGTATTCGTACTACATTGTATATTGGCTTAGCAAGTGTATCCCCCTAATTTTCCGCATGTTAATTAAGACATTACAATTAAGTAACGTTGCCAAAGCCAATAAATACTAGAAATGCTCATTGTTACTGGCAAAGCCCGGCTGCAGCCTCCTATTTTCGTACTTCGCACCAACACACGTGTCAAGTCTCTCTAGAGTAATATTTCCAGTTTAAATTAATGAGTCATTTACTCAAAAATTAATGTTTGGTAATGAGCATGTGATGTCGGTCAGTTTGTGAGCGGTGGAGTAGTGAGAATGGACGCCTGGGGTAATCTCACCCTCGGAAACCTCGATGTTCCTGCGATCAGAGACGATGAACCGAACGTGCAAGGGAGTTTCAGGAGGAAGAAGCCCAAAACCGTAAGTTTATGAATATCGATATGATACTACCACTAAAAACTAAACTTGTCAAATCTTATACAGCGTGAGTCATGAAGAACTCCTACCTCGTATGTACTATATGAAAAATGTGTGCTCTTATTGCTTAATAATACGAGTATAAACGTCAATTTAACGGTAACGTTAAATAAACGTGCCCGATTTTTGTATTTTTTTACGATTCTCACAAGATCAATAAAATTTATCACTTCTATTGACTGGTCACTGAAGAATTTCCATATTTAGAGCCTAATCTTCAATGAAATTTCGATTTTAAGTTTTGGCAACATAATATAAGGCATTTGAAATATGCCTAAAAAAGCTGAATTTCAACTTTCACATCACAAACGATTTTACATCACTGAAAATGGTTTCACGAAGACGTTATTTAGTGGAATTTGTAGCTGAATTCGTACAGTTTTGAAAAATGTACTTGTGCAATCGAAAAAAAGCAGTTTTAAACATTTTATATCTTTTGTAATATGAAAGCTTTTTTTTAATTTGTAATTCAGCAAAACCGAAATTTCGTGACATAGGTTTAGGTTTTAAAGAACATACTTTCCTTCGCCACTGCCTGATGTTCATGGCTTACATCAGCTATCCACATTTTAAGGGGTATTCCTCTTGACATATGTCTGGGGTTTCCGTCTTTGGATTTCTTTTATAGCTCGATTATCTGGCATTATTTTCAAGTAGCCAAGCCAGTTTAGTTTTTATTCATCATCATCATCAATGGCATTACAGCTCGTTATAAGCCAAAGCCTTCTTCAGAACAATCTTCAATTCGCCCCTGTCTCTCGAAACTCTTCTCCATGCTTTAACTTTGATGGAAAATCTCCACAGAAGAAATTAGATTGATTTTTCATCATCAGTGGCATTTCAGCTCGTCATGAGCCAAAGCCTTCTTCAGAGTAATGTTTCATTCGCCCGTGTCTCTGGCAACTCTTCTCCATGATTTAACTCCGATGGATTTTAGATCATCCTCTATGTTATCTTGATAACTAAGTTTTGGTCTTCCTCTGGATCGTCTCCCCACTTGTCCTTTTTGGTCGAAAATTTTTCTGATCGTTGCATCTTCAACTCGCCTAATTACATGTCCTATCCATCGAAGGCGTGCTAATTTGATACATTTTACGTCAGGTTCCCCAAAACTTCTATATAACTCAAAGTTATAGCGCCTATGCCACAAACCCTGTTCTTGGACTTCTCCATATATTTTCCTTAGAATTTTTCTCTCGAAACGTTTAAGCAATTCTTGATCGTTCTGTGTAAGTGATCATATTTCTGACCCGTATGTTAACACTGGTCTTATTAGTGTTTAATAATCTACATTAATTAGTATCTTAAACTATGAATTAAACAATGAAAATTCAGTTGGTAACACATAAAACAATGAATAAACTAATCATAGTTAATCAGCATAAAACATAATATTTACTTTACACAAACAAACTCTGCCTATAGCTTTACAATAAACAAATTTAAAACTGATACTTATGGCTTCATGTGGTTGACAGGGTAAGTTGTTAATGGCTCCCGATGGTCTTGAATACTGCTGCATTCTTAGTTGGTTGGATATGTGGTTAATCCATCATTTAATTTAATAAATTATTTCATAAATTATTCCATAAAATTTTTCATAAAATATTCCACAAACTAAAATATAACACAGCCTGTATTAGAAAGACATCAAAGGGGGTTAACTTCCTTGCCAATTATTTTACAAAATCACAATCAAACAAATAGCAGATGGCAAGGATAAAGTGAAATAGAAATATTTTTAAAATTAAAGGTTTGTAACATTTCTACATACATAAAATTAAAAACGTGGCTTTGGAAGAAGTGAGATTATGAATATTGAAAATACAGCCAGAATTATAAAATATAGGTTACAATGAAAGTACTCACAGCAAGAGATTTCTGCAGGCAATAAAATGAGCCTTATTCTTGATTTCCTTCTTTTAAAAATTTCAACTACAGACAATAGTACATTGTTTACCGGGTAGGAAAAGCTTAACCTTCCTGGACGACTGTGAAGATTGCTAAGTCGAGGCGCAAGCCGAGACTTAGCAACACAGAGTCCAGGAATGTGGCTTTTCCTACGAGGTAAACATACTATTTTTCCGCAAATCATTTAAAATTCGACAGATATTGATTGATTTAAAAAAAACGCGATAATTTTATTCCCAAATAAATGGTGCTTTGAAATTCCTAATAAAATTACTTGGGTTACTATGGAAACGTATTGAGGTTGAATTGTCAAACTTGACGCTTATAAATTTAATTGCTGGTGTTCTCGAAAGTAAAATGGTAAAATGTTCTCTGGTGCCGACATAACTAGTTTAAAGAGGCATGGCGGATGGAAGTCATCAAACGTTGCTGAAGGATATATCGAAGAATCGCTTAACAATAAGGTTGAGGTGGCAAATAAAATTTTCACTGTACAGAATATTCAACAAAATGACACTTCCACCCTGCATGTTGTCCAAAATGTTTCTCATAGTTCTTAGAGTGTTCCTCCAATGTTGAATAATTGTACTAACTGTCAAATTACTGTAAATATAACAAATTGATCTTAAAAATGTATTCAGCAATGACTTGATGTTTTCAAAATATAAATTAATTCCTTATAAGCAATGTGTTTTCTATCATTTATATAGAACACTAACAACTGTACGGAAATATCATTTCCTTACAGTAAGGAAATGACATTTCCTTACAGTAAGGAAGTCCTGACTTTTTCTTTAAGAAATTTTGACAGGAATGTCAAAATTTCCTGGCGATTTGCGGAAAAAAATATATCCCACCACGTTTGAAAGCTGATTGACTCAAATTAGTGGGGAGTGACTACAATGAAGTATAGCACAGAAGCCATAGAACGTATGCCTATGATGGAATTATACTTCTGTCAACATAGAATAGAATATTTAGTCTACCGGACTGAAACAGAGAGGGCGCTAACTATTTTTTGAAAAAAAAAATAGCAAAAATGAAACTGAAGGTGAGGAGTTAATAAATTAATAAAGAAATTAAAACAAAATAATAATTTAAATATAAATTAATAAAGATAGATAAATTAAAAAAAATACTAAAAATACATTGTCTAGAAGTTAACAAACCTAAAATATATAATATTTTATGAATGAGTAAGTAGTAAACAAACACTTATCTTGGGCATAGAAAGCAGCAAGGACAGCATTATCTAAATATCAAAGCTATTTAAAATATATAACATAAATTACCATCACCATCACTGGTGCTATAATAGCCCTAAACTAGACTTTTCCGAACATTTTTTTCTATACTGACTTATTTCTAGTGAAAAGCATTGTCAGTTTGTTGCACCAATTTTTCTCATCCAAATTTTTCTGCCATTTAAGTTTTAGCCTATCTTATGTTTGTTGTTCTGAAGCTATTTTCTTGTGGAATTGTAAATTAATTACTATTAAACTGGGAATAAGCCACAATTAAAGATAAAAATACGTTTATTGACGTTTCAATTTCCACTTCGGAAATCGTTCTCAAAATGTAACAAAAAACAAAATTTGTTTAATTTACTGTTTGTATTTTGAGAAAGATTTCCGAAGTGGAAATTGAAACGTCAATAAACGTATTTTTATCTTTAATTGTGGCTTATTCCCAGTTTAATAGTAATTATGTTTGTTGCTCTCCAGCTGTGATATACAGATACCTTTTGAAGAATTATCATCATCAGTAGCTCGACAACCCTTTCTGGATCCTGGCTTGTTCTAGGATTTTCCGCCATTCTGTTCTGTTCCTTGCTTTGTTTTCCAGTTAGTAATCTTAAGTTTTTTCAGATCTTGTTCCACTTGTTCCTTGTTTGGGTCTTTCCTTTGACCTTCTCTCTACTGGTGTTTGCTTCATTATATGTTTTGGTGTTTCAGTCTCCAACATCCGTTCAACATGACCCATCCAGCGTAGGCGTCCGATCTTTATGGATGTTATGAGCTCGGGTTCATTGTATGCTGTTATGTCCCTTATATATGTGTCTAAAGATTTTTCGTTCAAATGTACCTAATAGGTTCTCATCGCTTTTCGACGGTGTCCATGTCTCTGATCCATATACAAGGTCTGGTTTTATCAGGTTTTTGTATATTTTGCATTTGGTTTTTCTTGTGATGTTAGATCTTACATGTTTAATTAGTCCATTATATATTTTATTAGCGATATGTATTTTTCTCTTAACTTCTTCACTGACATTATTATCTGCGGTAACTAGTGAACCTAATATGTAAAATTTTCACGCTTTCGATGTTATAGTCTCCTATTATTAGATTTTGTAGGTTTCTTTGGCCTGTCGATTTGCTAGCCTTCATGTATTTGGTTGTTATTTCGTTAATGTTTAGGTCACTGTTTTGTGCCGCTCTTTCTATCGCATTAAATGCTTCTATCATCTCTCTTTTGCTTCTAGCTATGATACCAACATCATCTGCAAATGCCAATATTTGTACACTTTTTGTTATTATTGTTCCTCTGGTGTTGACTTTTGACTCTAATTATTTTCTCTAATGTGATGTTAAATAGAATACTGGATAGGACATATCTCTGTCGTAGGCCCGTTCTCACATGGATTGTATCTGTTAGTGCGTTTTGAATTCGAATTTTGCTTTGTACTTTAAGTATTTCTTTTACTATATCAATGAGTTGAGTTGGAATATTAAACTCTTTCAGTGCATGGATCAGAAATTATCGGTGGATGCTATCATAGGCACTCTCAAAATCAATGAAAAGATGATGTGTGTCTATATTAAATTCACTAGTCTTTTCCAAGATTTGCCTCAAGAAGAAAATCTGATCTATTGTGGACTTCTGCCTGCAGAAACCACATTGATATCCCCCAACTATTTGTTCCGCATATGGTCTCAATCGGTTATACAGTATATTTGACATATTTTATATGCACAGTTAGTAGCGTTATTGCCCGGTAGTTTTTACATTAAAGCTGATCTCCCTTTTTATTT